TGGAACCACTTCCAAACCTCCTAATATCATCAATAAGAACTTAAAAGGTGCAAAAGATGATTCACACTTATGCTAGCAACGAGATTCTCGTGGAAAGCTTGGTGTTTCTTTTGATGATTATGCAGGAAAAAGGAGTATCCCACCTAGAATCACGACCCCCCCTGCTGATGTTCCTCACTTCCTTAGAAGAATTCCTGCATCTACTGCATATAAACCACCATGGATGTGGAGACATTCTTCTCCAAGGCATTCAATGCCAACTTCTGCTCCACCAGCTGTCTGAGCAGCATTCAAAGCCGAGCTAATGACTTTAAACAAGCGCTTAGTGGGAGGCAACCCACTGGTAAGTTTTCTTTTTTCATATACTTAGTTTAGTTTTCTATTACATAGCTAAAAACCCCAAAAACATGAGAAAAACCGAAAAAAAGAGTCAGTTTGTTCAGTTTGCTTTGAGAATGTTTTGTGAACTTATAAAACCATGGGTTATGCTTTGTTTGGATGTTTTTGATGTGTGTTTTGAGTGCTCTAACTGTCTAATTTCGGAGTACACATGATGACACAACGTTTAAGCATCCAACTTGACTATTCTGGAGTATCAGAAATGGTGACGCTCGTCACCAAGCTGGTGACGCTCGTCACCCGACCCTTTGCGAGGTACCACTTTTTCTCCTTGGTTTTACAAGTTCTCATGCTTCATTTTGACCAACTCTTGGCTTAATAACACTAAGGACAGTGTTGTTTAAGTCTGGGGGAGGTGGTTACTGACGTTGTATGATTTGTGTCATGTTTATAGAGTCTTAAAGTTTAGTCAAAAACCTGTTTTTATAGAGTCAAAATTTTGAAACAGTTTGTTCAGTTTGCTTTGAGAATGTTTTGTGAACTTATAAAACCATGGGTTATGCTTTGTTTGGATGTTTTTTTGATGTGTGTTTTGAGTGCTCTAACTGTCTAATTTCGGAGTACACATGATGACACAACGTTTAAGCATCCAACTTGACTATTCTGGAGTATCAGAAATGGTGACGCTCGTCACCCGACCCTTTGCGAGGTACCACTTTTTCTCCTTGGTTTTACAAGTTCTCATGCTTCATTTTGACCAACTCTTGGCTTAATAACACTAAGGACAGTGTTGTTTAAGTCTGGGGGAGGTGGTTACTGACGTTGTATGATTTGTGTCATGTTTATAGAGTCTTAAAGTTTAGTCAAAAACCTGTTTTTATAGAGTCAAAATTTTGAAACAGTTTGTTCAGTTTGCTTTGAGAATGTTTTGTGAACTTATAAAACCATGGGTTATGCTTTGTTTGGATGTTTTTGATGTGTGTTTTGAGTGCTCTAACTGTCTAATTTCGGAGTACACATGATGACACAACGTTTAAGCATCCAACTTGACTATTCTGGAGTATCAGAAATGGTGACGCTCGTCACCAAGCTGGTGACGCTCGTCACCCGACCCTTTGCGAGGTACCACTTTTTCTCCTTGGTTTTACAAGTTCTCATGCTTCATTTTGACCAACTCTTGGCTTAATAACACTAAGGACAGTGTTGTTTAAGTCTGGGGGAGGTGGTTACTGACGTTGTATGATTTGTGTCATGTTTATAGAGTCTTAAAGTTTAGTCAAAAAACCTGTTTTTATAGAGTCAAAATTTTGAAACAGTTTGTTCAGTTTGCTTTGAGAATGTTTTGTGAACTTATAAAACCATGGGTTATGCTTTGTTTGGATGTTTTTGATGTGTGTTTTGAGTGCTCTAACTGTCTAATTTCGGAGTACACATGATGACACAACGTTTAAGCATCCAACTTGACTATTCTGGAGTATCAGAAATGGTGACGCTCGTCACCAAGCTGGTGACGCTCGTCACCCGACCCTTTGCGAGGTACCACTTTTTCTCCTTGGTTTTACAAGTTCTCATGCTTCATTTTGACCAACTCTTGGCTTAATAACACTAAGGACAGTGTTGTTTAAGTCTGGGGGAGGTGGTTACTGACGTTGTATGATTTGTGTCATGTTTATAGAGTCTTAAAGTTTAGTCAAAAACCTGTTTTTATAGAGTCAAAATTTTGAAACTGTCAGTTTTTCTTAGAACTAACCATAAGACGTTTATGCTTATAAGAACTATTGCCACAATAGTTGATTACAAGTCTTACTAAGTTGAAATTCATAGGTAGATCAGTCTAGCAATGAAGGTTTAGGTTCTTAGAGTATCTGGAAAATTTGCTGTTAGCTCCACCTTAATGAACTTTAAATTTCTTATCTTGGGGTTTGATTCTTATTGATCTTGATTCTTTCTTTCAGCACTGACAAGTATGTTTAAATGCAGTCTCTCGTTGAGGTTCCCTGATGCAGTTTTTAAGAGTTTGAGTCAAAAGAATGGTGCATTCATGAACATGTCTCCTCACAAGGAACAACAGTAATGAACACACTCAAGAACTTGTCTCTTCACAAAGAAAGGAGATATTCCTCATTAATATTTAACCTATGTATCCTTGTAACTTCAGTATATACTGCATTCTATCATCTAATACAACACATTGAGTATTCAATCCTATATAAATGTCTCTAAAAGGGAATGATTTGTTAGATAGGTTTATGGTTCTAGAGTGGTGCCTATATCTAGTATAAGTAGATTCTGTGTCTATGTAGTTCATAATGCATATTGCTAAATAAATAACACAGTAATTAATATTAGGGTACAATTGTCTGCACGCTATTTCTTTGTTAACCAAAAAAAAAGAATTGAATAGATAAGGTTTTAAGAGCGCTAGCGCTGTCTCTAATTGTCTTAGTCAGAATGCGAACTTGAAAATTTATCACTGCATCTTTTTGCTTCTGTTGTATTTGATACATGTAATCTAGATTGAAAGATGTAAGTTGATTTTATATCATTCGGAAGAAAATAATTTACGTAGAAGTCTTTCAGCTCTAAAGTAAATATAGTCTGAATAATCTTAACCATGACCCTCTAATGATTTTTTGTCATCCCAACATTTTGAAGCATAGGTTTTAGAGGAATAATATCTCTGGAAATCATTATTTGTTGCCTTTGCTTTTCTTTCATGAAGAATAACTTTAGATACACCTAATCTAAGTTTTTGTTCCTAATATATACTAACACTCTAAAATTTTTTTTTCATAACATATTTTACTAATGACTTACCATATTAATCTTAGTTAGACAAAAGATCTATAATATATAAAAGTTGATGGCATAGTGCATTGAGGACATCCACATAAAAATTGAGAAACTCGATATGATTGATCCACATCAGCATATTTATTAAATAAAAAAAGTTAAGTATGATTAAAACATTAAAACATTAATTTCTAATTTTAAAAACATTAATTTTGTTTTATATATGAAAAAATTAAAATAAAAAGATTAAGTAACAAATAGAAAAGAAAATAATGTAAAAAAAACAAATATAGTATATTTCAAAATTAAATAGAAATTTAATTTCAAAATAGTTAAACTAATAAGGTAAAAGCGAAAACTTATAATATAGGTTGGAAAAATTTCTTAAAAAACTCAATTTGATTGGTCCACAACATCGTTTTCATTAAATAAAAAAATGTTAAGTATGATTAAAACATTAAAACATTAATTTTAAGTTTTTATAACATTAATTTTATTTTATAGATGAAAAAATTTAAAAAAAAAGCTTAAGTAACAAATATAAAAGAAAATAATGTTAAAAAAACAAAATATAGTATATTTCAAAACTAAATAGAAATTTAATGTCAAAAAAGTTAAACTAACAAAAAAAAACGGATAAGGTAAAAACTAAAACTTATAATATAGATTAGAAAAATTATTAATATAGATTCATTAAATAAAAAAATGTTAAGTATGATTAAAATATTAAAACTTTAATTTCTAATTTTTTAAAAACATTAATTTCTTTTTATATATGAACAAATTAAAATGAAAAGATTAAGTAACAAATAGAAAAGAAAATAATGTTAAAAAAACAAAATATAATATCTTTCAAAATTAAATGGAAATTTAATATCAAAAGAGTTAAACTAACAAAAAAACCAATTAGGTATCTTTCAATTAGAAACAATTAGAAAAGAAAATAATGTTAAAAAAATGAAATATAGTATCTTTCAAAAACATACTCAAATTGCTATATGTAGATGAAATATTCAAATCAAAGAATGCATATTGCACACAAAAATATAAAAACAGTAAAAAATAATGCAAAGACTCCACACCATCGATGCTACAAGTTAGAAAACTAAAATTATCAAATATTAGACTGTAAAAAATAGATATCAATGAAAACTAAATAAAAATATAACATAAAACTCTTGGAAGACATGGTGGAGAAGGAAAAAATGGTTTTGCATGATCATTGTAGCTTCCTGACAAAATTAAATGCAAATCAACATGAATCATGGATTATATATGCAGTCGTACATAACATCAATAAAACTTTCAATAAAAAAAAACTAAATATTTGAATACAAAAACCTTCAAGAGAAAAGAACTATAAAAAATCTTAGGAAAACAGAAAATAATACCAAAATCTTAGCAAAAAAAACTTTCTCTAAATCAAATGTATATGTACGTCAAAGTTGGATAATTCGATAGATGTCATTGTTAATATTTTACCTAATAGTTTTTAAAATTTTTTAAAAAATAGGAGAAAATTTCACACTATATATTAAATTCTCTTATATAAATAAAAATTTCTATAAATATATTATATTTTTAATAATTTTAAAGATAGTAGCTAAAAAAAGTTAAACCAAACTATTAATACAGACTCGCGCGTAGCACGAGTTATATATATAGTTAGTTAATAAAAAGAGAAGAAAAATAGTGTACAAAAAAATGCATCAATGATCTAAAAAGAGTTTTGACCACACAAACACTTAAAAACAACTATAAATATACAGTTGGCATTAGTTACACAACAAGCTGAACCTCCACCAATCGAAAAGAAGATTTTGGACGTCCATGTTGGATTACCGCAACCAAAAACTGACTAATTGACCAGGCTCTAGACCTCGGTCCAAGAAGACTATGGACGTCGGTTCAAAACTTTCTGGTTAATCAGAAGTTTAAAACAAAAGTTACAAGATATATAGGAAGACCATTAAAGAACATGATCATACACCGTCCAAACCACCATCACCACCTTGTTCAACTAGCTTTTCCCCATCATGAGCATTGAGCAGGAGGGATCGGAAAGAAATATGCTCCAAGAGCATGAAGAACATCATAGACAGACCGACCATGGAACCCAACAATAGCACAGCCTTTTCTTTCAAGCTCGAATTCAATAGGACTGCTACAAAACTCATTTCCAAATGTCGGAGAGGACCTCTCTTTTGATGTTTTGAAACTCAATGATGTAATCATCGTATGTTAACCTTGATTATAAGCTACTGTGCTAGTCCCCTTCACGGACGTGAGAAATTCATCTGGATAGTCCAGGACAAACTGCAATGAAAAAGGCTTCGTATATAAGCCATTATTCAAGAACACACATAGATAGATATGGTTGACAAATATTTAAGTGGTAGGAATTGTGACCTCTCTTTCTTGTACTTTAACTACAGCTTTCGACCCATGCTCACGAGATTCCACTTTGCCACCATTCTCGTACTCGAACCTTGTTGAACTAAGCTTGGAATGAAGCTTAAGATGCAAGCCATCCTATTTCTATCAAGACAAGGATACCTAAAGTGTTTAGGATTAGAGAGAGAGATGTTTAGGAATTATCTAATACATTCTCTACTAGAATTAGGAATTGTATATTGGCTATATAAGCAATGTCGAGTTGTGACATTAGCTTTAAGAGAGATTTGAGAGTTTAAGATTTTGAGTGAGTTTCTTTAAGCTAATAAGAGAGTTATTCTTATTGATCCTTTTGAGTTACAAAGTTCTTTAGTTCTTGTTACAATCAATAATTGGTATCAGAGCTTCAGAACTGATTTCGAACCAAACCACAAGATATGGGAGATCTTGTCCCATCAACATCAACGAAACCTTAGGAAGGAGGTGGAGGGCCTTCATCGATCACCTGTCCGATGCTCAACACCACCAACTATACTGTTTGGGCCATGAAAATGAGAATAGCTCTCAAGGTTCACAAAGTATGGGAGGTGATAGAGAAAGACACGGATCCACCTGATGGTGAAAAGAACAACATGGCGATAGCCTTGTTGTTTCAATCAATACCTGAAAGCCTCATTCTTCAAGTGGGAGAACTTGATACGGCAAAGAAGGTATGGGAGGCGATCAAGGCAAGACATGTGGGAGCTGAAAGGGTCAAGGAAGCCAGACTACAAACATTAATGGCGGAATTCGACCGTCTCAAGATGAAGGACACAGAGAGAATAGATGACTTTGCCGGGAAGTTATCTAAGATATCCACAAAGTCCGCAGCTTTAGGAGAGATTATTGAAGAATCAAAACTCGTTAAGAAGTTCTTGAAAAGCCTTCCATGAAAGAAATACATACATATTGTAGCTTCGCTGGAGCAAGTTTTGGATCTTAATAACACCAGCTTCGAATATATTATAGGACGATTAAAAGCATACGAAGAGTGAATTACAGAGGAAGACGATGCCCAGGAGGATCAGAGCAAACTCATGTACTTAAACGAAGAAATTCAAAGCAGTCAATCGAATCGTGACTACAATGGAGAGTACAGGGCAGAGGTCGAGGAGGACGAAGCAGAGGAAGAGGTCACGGACGCAATGGAGGAAGAGATACTTTGAAAGTTATGTGCTATCGCTGTGACAAGATGGGTCACTACGCATTGGTGTGTCCGGATAGGCTGCTCAAGCTCCAAGAAACACAAGAGGACGAGAATAATGATACACAAACTGCAGATGAGCTGATGATGCACGAGATTGTGTATCTCAATGAGAAGAACTGCCATCCAAGCAAATATGAGAAAACAAACAAGGAGGAAAACGTGTGGTACTTAGATAACGGAGCTAGCAATCATATGACAGGAGACAGAATATATTTCGAGAAAATAGATTACTTTGTCACAGGAAAGGTGAGATTCGGTGATGATTCCCGAATCGACATAAAAGGAAAATGCTCGATTTCCTTTATCGATATGAATGGAAAACCACGGACTATGTATGATGTTTATTTCATCCCTGATCTGAAAAGCAATATCATCAGTCTAGGGCAAGCTACAGAGTCTGGTTGTGACAAAAGAATGCGAGGATGATACTTGACGATGCACGATTCAGAAGGAAAGCTTCTTGTAAAAGCCGATAGAGCCACAAACCGACTTTACAAAGTGTAGATGGGGCTAAAGGACACCGCATGCCTACACTTAACATCAACTACTGAATCCAGCAGATGGCATGCTAGAATGGGACACATAAATCACGAGACAATGAAGTCGATGATTCAGAGAGAGTTGGTTCAAGGAGTCCCACATATCAGTGTTTGAGAAAGAAGTCTGCGGTTCATGCTTACTCGGCAAGCAAGCAAGACAAGCATTCCCACAAGCCTCCTCATATCGAGCAACCAGGATACTTGAGCTCATACATGGGGATCTATCTGGTCCAATAACGCCAAGTACTACTGCTGGAAACAGGTATATTTTTGTCCTCATTGACGATCACTCCCGTTACATGTGGACAATTTTGCTAAAAGAGAAGGGTGATGCACTTAGCAAATTCAAAAACTTCAAGCGTCCGGTTGAGCAAGATGCAGGGGAGAGTATTAAAACCTTTAGAACAGATAGAGGAGGAGAGTTTGTCTCTCACGAGTTTAACTCTTTCTGCGATTATTATGGAATTAAACGTCATCTTACTGCTCCATATACTCCGCAGCAAAATGGAGTCATAGAAAGGCGCAAAAGGACGATGATGGAGATGACACGGAGCATTATGAAGCATATGCGTATACCGAATTACCTATGGGGAGAGGCGATTCGGCATTCCACATATTTACTGAACAGAGTCGCAACAAGGTCGCTGAAGGATAAGACTCCATATGGGATTTTCAGGTCGAAGAAGCCGCATATAAGTCATCTAAGGATCTTTGGATGCATTTGTTACGCGAAGATAGAAAAGCCACACCTTCGAAAATTAGATGACAGGTCGAGAATGCTTGTTCATCTAGGAACAGAACCAGGATCAAAGGCATACCGACTTCTCGATCTGACATCGTGGAAGATAGTGGTGAGTAAGGACATAGTATTTGACGAAACAAAAGGATGGAATTGGAGTTACAGTGATTCTGATCAAATTGGAGATTTCAGCATCACTCTTGGAGGATTTGGGAACCGTGGTATTCCACAAGAAGGAGAGAAGGAGTTCCGAGCAATAGAAAACCACGAGAACACTTCAGAAGAAACAAATAACAGTGGTGCCCTAGAGACCCCTCGAGAGCAGGAACACGAACAGACACAAGTTATGCCGAGTCGAAAGAGTGATGAAGATGCATCAAATAGCGGAAGTCCGGAAAAACAAAGCTCAGGAAAACAGGGGACAGAAAAACAGAGCACCATGGTCGGAAGTAAAAACCCAGAAAAACAGAGCATAGCTCCACCGCCGAGTCTTCGTCGCACTGAAAGAGAAAGTACATTGCCAACATATCTACAAGACAATGTACTTCTTGCCGAGGAAGAGGGGGAGATGTTGCTGTTATCTCTAAACAACGAACCCAGAAATTTTCACGAAGCCAAAGAATCACGTGAGTGGATGTTTGCCTGCGAAGATGAGATACTATCTATTGAGAAGAATCTTACATGGAATCTGGTGGACTTACCGAATGGTGTTAAAGAAATCGGATTGAAATGGGTTTTCAAACTGAAACGAAATTCTGATGGGAGTATAAATAAACACAAAGCTCGGTTGGTCGCAAAGGGTTATGTACAACAGCATGGAGTCGATATTCGAGGAAGTCTTCACTCCAGTAGCTCGGATAGAAACAATACGACTCTTGTTCAACCTTGCAGCATCAAACGGCTGGGAGATACAACACCTTGATGTAAAGACAGCATTCTTACATGGCGAGCTGAAAGAAACTGTTTATGTTACACAACCGGAAGGTTTCGAGGTAAAGGGACAAGAGAGCAAAGTCTATAAACTTAACAAAACTTTATATGGACTCAGGTAAGCACCGAGAGCTTGGAATCATAAGCTAAATCAGATTCTGTTGGAGTTCCGGTTTAAAAAGTGCTTGAAGGAACCCTCAATTTATCATAAGGAATTTAGTGGAGATCTTCTGATCGTAGCAGTTTATGTGGATGACCTGTTTGTCACGGTAACACGCATGAGTGTCATCAACGAATTCAAAGCAGAGATGGCTTCCAAGTTCGAGATGAGTAACCTAGGAAGACTAACGTACTATGTCGGGATTGAGGTATCTCAACACGTCGGTGGAATAGTACTAAGTCAGAAGCGATATGCTCAGAAGATCTCGGAAGAAGCCGGAATGAAAGACTGTATTCCGGTTCATGTGCCAATGGATTCCGGATTGAAACTTGCCAAATCAGAAGATAAGAGAGAGATAGATGTTACATGGTATAGGAAAAACATGGGATGTCTGCGATATTTACTTCATACGAGACCCGATCTGTCATATTGTGTTGGAGTATTAAGTCGATATATGCAGAGTCCGCGAGAGTCTCATGGAGCTGCTATGAAACAATGTCTTCGATATTTGCAGGGTACGACTGCACTAGGGCTAGCATTTGAGCGAGAAAACTCGGCAACTCCAAAACTGATAGGATATAGTGATAGTAGCCATAATGTCGACCCTGATGATGGGAAGAGCACGACTGGCCACATATTCTATCTCCGAGGTAGTCCAATCTCTTGGTGTTCGCAGAAACAGGAGACGGTGGCGTTATCCTCGTGTGAAGCTGAGTTTATGGCAGGAACGGAAGCAGCAAAGCAAGCGATTTCGCTCCGAAATCTGCTTAACGAGGTTACTGGATTGCCAAGTGAGAAAGTTGTCATACGGATTGACAACAAATCAGTGATAGCCCTTACTAAAAATCATGTGTTTCACGGTCGAAGCAAACATATACACACCAGGTATCACTTCATAAGAAAGTGTGTTGAAGACGGGCTAATAGAGGTTGAACATGTTCCCGGAAATGAGCAAAAGACGGACATCTTGACGAAGACACTAGGAAGAATCAAGTTCAAGGAGATGAGAGAACTGATTGGTGTTCAAAATCTGCAGCAGGCTGATTTCAAGCTTAAGGGGGAGATTGTTGAACTAAGCTTGAAATGAAGCTTAAGATGCAAGCCATCCTAATTCTATCAATACAAGGATATCTAAAGTGTTTAGGATTAGAGAGAGATGTTTAGGAGTTATCTAATACATTCTCTAATAGAATTAAGAATTGTCTATTGGCTATATAAGCAATGTCGAGTTGTGACATTAGCTTTAAGAGAGATTTGAGAGTTTAAGGTTTTGAGTAAGTTTCTTTAAGCTAATAAGAGAGTTATTCTTATTGATCCTTTTGAGTTACAAATTTCTTTAGTTCTTGTTACAATCAATAAACCTGACACACCTCATATAATTACCATCATAACAAACGTACACCTTTCTTACTCCTTGGAAAGTACCATCATCCCAGAGGTAGCCTGTATTACCATTATCGTATAGACTGCCTTTAGTACAATCTTGATATTCCAATTTAGTTAGAGGAAGCGTTGTGAAATATGCTCCAAGAGAGTATAGCTTCTTCTCGGCATATCCATGAAATCCAATGATTTTATTGCCGTTACATCCAATTGAAAACTTTGTACTCGTTTCCTCATCATCGTCATCATCATCATCATCGTCCTTGCCAACTCCCATCATTTCCGAAGTCTTCATGTTGGTTTTGAATTGAAGTGCTTGGATCACACCGGAAGTCTCGTTGTAGTAACCGTCAACAGACGGTAGGTATTCGCTGTCAGAATGGTTAATTTCAAACTACAAAAAAAAATGGTATATACACATTACATTTACATTCCATTAACTTATTTGAATTAGTCACCAGGCTATGAAGCCTTGGCAACCAAATTTAAATGGAGTTTAATTTTACTTACCGGCTCCAGCGGGTTGCCTCCAGCCGTGCTAGAACCATGGACTAGCGCTTTAGTATGTCCATTTTTGTCCACATAATCGAATTGGATGTTCTTTATGCCTTTTGAAGTAATACGTATATGAATCTTTGTTAAAGCTTTTATAGTCGGCTCCATCATTCCACTCCTTGCCTCCCTTTCCCCCATTTGCTTCCATTTTAGTTGGAGTAATGCTTGTAACATATGCTCCAAGTGTGTTAAGGTTCGACTTAGCAGATCCGTGAAACCCAATAATTTTCTTGCCGTCCACGGCTAGTGTAAATTTATTAAAAATATACTCATATCCCATGATTGCAGACCTTCAAGTTTGTTTTAAATTGAAGTCCTTGAATCACCTCTGAATTGTGGTAACCCTCAACAGATACAAGATATTCACCTTTTAGATGATCAATCTCAAACTGCAAAAAAAAAAACATTTGTTCAAAAAAAAGCAATATCATTCTCATGAACAGCTAGAATAAAGGGAATTTAGTTAGAATTTTTTGAAGTCATACCATCTGTGTGAAACCTTCGTTTGAGAAACCATGGAATGATTCATCTCTCAGTTGTCCATTCCCGACATATTCAAACTTGATGAACTGTATGCCTTCACGATCACCTCGTACATATATCTTTGTTACACCATCATGGTCTGATCCATCATCCCACTTATATTGGCTTTCTGGATACTTTTTCCCTTCCGCTTCCAACTTTTGTGTCATCTCGGATAAATTCGAATCTTGAGACATCAAAAGGTGTTGTGTATTCTTAGTCAATATATAATTGGCATTAACACAAACATGTGTTACTTCGGGTTGGGATTTCTTTAAAAAGATCAAACCATTTCAAGCCAAGAATCAAACAAGATCTAATTCAAAGGAAGAAACACAGTAGAAGAAAATCAACTTTCTTGGGGGAAAATGGGAGAAGCTCCAACTATTATATCATATATATACAATTACAAGATTTTCATGCTCTAGAATTATCAAAACTATGCTCATTACAATTACAATTGTGTATTTAAGAATATGGTGCTCAAACATTGGCATGTAATAAAAGCAAATATGCATAGAGAGAGAGAGAGAAAGAGAGTTGACCTATGATGGTGGTAGAAAGAGAAAGAGATGGTGAACAGAAAGTGCTATGGCGATCGTACAAAAAGATAAAGGTGTCTTTTATATACAAGCTTTGGCTAATCGTACAAATGTATAATTATATTACGACTCTTGCATCGATAGTCAAGTAATCAACAATATATTATTTTGTGATTTAAACATTAAGAAAAATATTAAGAAAAAGAATTATTATTATAAGACCAAATGAAGCCTTTCTCTTTCGGTCTTCTTTCCTAAATCAAGTTTAATAAAAAAAATATTAAGAAAAATAATTGTTATTATAAGATCAAATGAAGCCTCTTCCCTCCTGAACTCTAAATATTGTTGTGATGGTGTTCAGAAGCAAATAATAGAATGTTATAGAGGATGTATTCGTCTATATAGCGAAGCTGAGTCTCCGAGTTTCATCTTCTAAAGGATAAGTGGCATGCAGTCTCGAAACAAAAGTTTAATAGGGTTTTGCGTACTTTGGCAAATAAGTAAGTCAAGCCTTCAAAGGGACCGAAATGAGGTTTCTCTCCTGTAGATTCACTGACGCTTATATTATACTATACCTTACTGGAAACAAGTACTCAGGAAAGTAGGTATGTGATGGTTTGGATACCCCATCCGAGGATTGTGATACTTGTCTGATATTTAGTGGGGTCGAAGCATGATAGATTGACCATTGTAAAAGTGGGGTAGAAGCTCTCTCTACATAAGTGTTGAAACAGAGGAGTATGGGGAAGTAGAAGACTTTCTCGGTTGGCGCTCTTTCCGGGGACGGTAAATGTACCCCATTTAGTCTCGCTATATGACTGGGGTCGGGGCAAGCTCCAGTGAGGCCGATATCGGCGGTTTCCTCTCCTCTCCCTCTTTATCTTTCTTATTTAGTGTGTTCTCTCTCTAGGACCGATTTTAGATTCCCAAAATTCTTCTTTTCTCCTTTGGTCTTAACCTCCCTTTTATACATCTTTGCTCATGACCCATCTCATCAGTGCGGCGCATGGTGGAAGCAGGTGGGTTGATGTAGCATGTCTTCGGCTTAGGAAACCCGCCAACTGCCCAGAAACTGTCCGCTAGAAGGTTACTGAGCATGCCTAGGCAAAGAGGACAACACTCGGATAGGGTCCACTACTAACTTGTCGCCTCGGGGTTGGTTATGGTAAAAGTGGGCCCAGTAATTGTCCTCGACTTCTCTACTGATTGGAAATGAGTTGGAGAGTCGACTCTTTCGGTGTTCCTGTAAAATAATTAAAGTTCATTCGATACTCGAAGGTTTTGGCTAATTCAAAGCCATGTTAGAACGGTCTGCTCCTGACCTTGCCACGCATCCCAGAAGAGTACGGATCTAGTCGGAACATAGAAGAGTTTCTGAAGAAACGGTCAAAATGGGTCCCCCTGACTTTGCCACGCATCCCGAGTACAGATCTAGCCGGAGTGAAAGGAGTTTCTGGATGAACGGTTAGATTTGTCGAGAAATAGTTAGGTTCGCAGAAGAACAATTAGATTGGGTCCTATCCCGACTAGGGTGCGCATCCTGGAAGAGTACATGCTTGCTCCAAATAGGAAGATGTTAGGTTCTCGGAAGAACTGATGGTCGCCCACAGAAGAGCATCTCCTTAGAGGAAGTTTACATTTTGCTTCGTGAGGCACTAGACAAAGAGCCGTCTTTCTTCCCCATTGGGATTATGAGAAATCTATAACCCTATGTGACCAAATGACGACATAAGGCAACGACGCGGTTTAAGACACCTGACCAAGAACCACTGGTGCTACCCAGATAGTGGTGAAACTGCAGGTTTTCCAGAGGCGTTACCCTAATCCCTTATAGCTAAAACAGTCTTCGCGTTATGCTTACGTGGAAGATTCATGGTTTTAGAATCGTGCTTTGGACATACCCTGGAGGGAGAGGTCGGGAAGGTTTTGAGAAGAAGAAATCCTCCGGAAGGAGCGACCTTAATTCCCCGAAGATGCCACAGAAGGCAAGCGCATCACCAGAAGGAACATACTAAAGGGTCACACGGTCCTTAGAGAGAGCTGGCGAGGAAGACCCAGAGGTCTGCGAAACCAGAGTCCGGAAGCAAGTGCCTCTCCAGGGCAAGCACATCCAAGAGTTGTGCGGTCCCCAGAGGGAGTTGACAAAAGGATCTGGAGGTCTACGAAACCGGAGTCCTGAATTTCTGGAGGAATGGTGATGTAAGCATCAAGTCATATACAACTGAACCAGTCAAGAGATGGAGCATTGGAGCTAAACCAGATGATGCTAAGCTTGTAGCTGAGGAGCTTGGATGCTTTGTAGCTGTGTTTGAAGAAGTTGAGGAGTATATATCAAAACACCACTGTTCTGATTATCAGAAGGAGCCTTCTAAATCATCCCTGGTTCAATACAAGTCGTCACTTAACCAAAGAGAACCACCAAATTGCCTTAAACCACCAAATGAAGCCACATTGGAGCTAACTAATGAAAGAAGGGATTTCATGACATTAAATTCACCCCACCACTTCATTCGACCACCAAAGAGTATTTCAAGATATTCAGGATCACTAAACCATGCCAATAACCAGCAGAAACCGTCCCATATCCAAGAAGAAACCAAGAAGAAGCTACTTGCCTCAAAAGAGCTTGATTACTTTGCTACCTTTGGAAAGCAAGACCAGAATCTATTTTCACCTAAGGATCTCGACCATTCATACACTTCATCACATCCTGAGCATTCATACCTTACTGAAGCCCCCAAGATTCATCCCATTCTGAAAGCCACCAATCAAGCTAGTTTTCCCCATTATGATAATGGCTAGAAGATTCATATCAAGACCAAAAATCCCAAACAATTTGCTTCTGTTTTTAATTATTATGACCGTTGCTTTTCATTGTATTTGAGCATTATATAAGCTCTACTTCATTGTATTTCATATGCAGAATTATTAAAGAAATCAAAACCCCATTTGTTTTGTTTACAAAGAAAATTCTTTGCAATTAAACTTGTTCCTGCTTTTCTTCTAAGTGTTGTGGAATCAGCCTTGAAGATTTGTGTAGAATCTCCTATACTCTTGCATGGATTAGCCTTTGAGATAACAGAATCTAACCTTTGGAGTTTGTGGTCATCAAGCTTAACCTGACTTTCCATCATTCAAGTCATCCTTCCACCCCCTTAAGCTAGAAGCAAAGATTCAAAGAAGCTTTACTTGAACCAAATTTCAAGTATTGTATCATTGGTATCAGAGCTAAAAGCTCCTATCCAGGTGTATTCACATCTTTTATTTTTGCTTTTGCTATTTCAATTCATCTTGTTCAAGTTATTTCATTTTAAAAACCAAATTATTAATCAAGAAAAGTTTATTTTGTTTCTAAGAGAGTTGTCTTTTGAATCAATATTGTTCCTGCTTATTACTAGTTCTTCAAGAGGGATTCTTAGAACTTGTAAAGAGTGTAGAGACTAGTGTTCTTGTGAGGATTAGCCACTGAACATTAGAATCAAAACCCTTTGTGTTTGGGGTTCAAGCACAGCTGGCCAACCAACCATCTAGCCATTCAACCATCAAAAGCTTCTAAGCAAAAATTTCAAAGGGACATTACTTGCAGCATTTCAAGTATTGTATCATTTAATGATACAATACTTGAAATTTGGTTCAAGTAGAGCTTCTTTGAATATTTGCTTCTAGCTTAAGTGGATGGAAGGATGACTTGAATGATAGAAAGTCAGGTTGAGCTTGATGACCACAAACTCTAAAGGTTAGATTCTGCTATCTCAAGGGCTAAGCCACGCAAGAGTATAGGAGATTCTACACAAATCTTCAAGGCTGATTCCACAACACTTAGAAGAAAAGCAGGAACAAGTTTAGTTGCAAAGAATTTTCTTTGTAAACAAAACAAATGGGGTTTTGATTTCTTTAATAATTATGCATATGAAATACAATGAAGTAGATCTTATATAGTGCTCAAATACAATGAAAAGCTACGGTCATAATAATTAAAAACAGAAGCAAAGTGTTTGGGATTTTTGGTCTTGATATGAATCTTCTAGTCATTATCATAATGGGAAAAACTAGCTTGATTGGTGGCTTTCAGAATGGGATGAATCTCGGGGGCTTCAGTAAGGTATGAATGCTCAGGATGTGATGAAATGAATGAATGGTCGAGATCCTTAGGTGAAAAGAGATTCTGGTCTTGCTTTCCAAAGGTAGCAAAGTAATCAAGCTCTTTTGAGGCAAGTAGCTTCTTCTTGGTTTCTTCTTGGATATGGGACGGTTTCTGCTCGTTATTGGCGTGGTTTAGTGATCCTTAATATATTGAAATACTCCTTGGTGGTCGAATGAAGTGGTGGGGTGAATATAATATCATGAAATCCCTTCTTTCCTTAGTTAGCTCCAATGTGGCTTCATTTGGTGGTTTAAGACAATTTGGTGGTTCTCTTTGGTTAAGTGACGACTTGTATTCAACCAGGGATAATTTAGAAGGCTCCTTCTGATAATCAGAACGGTGGTGTTTTGATATATACTCCTCAGCTTCTTCAAACACAGCTACAAAGCCTCCAAGCTCCTCAGCTACAAGCTTAACATCATCTGGTTTAGCTCCAATGCTCCATCTCTTGACTGGTTCAGTTTTATATGACTTGATGCTTACATCATACTCTCCCTCTTGAAAAGGTTTTGTCCTCAAAACAATAGCATCTGCACCAAGTAAAGCTAAGTTAGTTTCTGAAAAAAAATTAGAGTTTAGAAACTTACCTTGGTGATTGTTTTCTAAATGCTGCAAGAGTTGAATGAATGGAATGTTTTTGGCTTTAGTGAGCACCAGTGTTGATCTCAGCTTAAGTGTTGGAGGTTTTTCTGCCCTGTGCTCCACGTACTCATGCTGCTGTACCACGTTTTTGGTCCCTTGCTCTTGCTCTTTTAGGGTATTGGCTTGTAGAGCATGGTTTGTTGCTTTGTAGTTGAAGAAACTCCTTGGGTAAAGTTGAGGGATTTTTGGTACCAAATCCTTTGGTGCATACTTATCCCTTAGTAATGCTTTGAGATCTCCCCAG